GAGTCCAGCAGCCATTATGCTAACTGCTGGTTCCCCATAGTTGCTTTATTTGTGATTTTTTTTTTCTTTTTTTTGGGAGAGGTTTTCGCTATAGGGTGCATGCGCTTGCCAGAAAGACAGAGAGTCAGAGATAGAAAGCGACAAATCACCCCCTGGCGGGATGGCCACACCACAATCTCTTCTCCTCCATTCTCCTCTCGGGTTGTTGGACACACACACACACACACACACACGCGCGCGCCCCGGGCGCCTGGCATGAGTTTAAGCCACTGGGTCCGGGACTTGAACCGTGGTCAGCTACATGGGAGTTCAGCGACATAGCCATTACGCTAACTGCTGGTCCCATATGTGACTTTTTTTAAAAAGAAGTTTTAGCCATATGGTGCGTGTGCTTGCAGGAGAGAGACAGAGACAGTGAGAGGGAAAGTGACAAGTCACCCCTTAGTGGGCATAGGCATGAGCCATCCCTTCTCCTCCATTCTCCTCTGGGGATCTTGGGCATGCACACACATGTGTGCCAAGGGGTCTCAGATTCAAACTGCAGTTGGCCATGTAGGAGTTTAGGGACAGCCACTATGCCAATGTCTGAGTTTCGCAACATAACCACTATGCCATCTGCTGGCCCCTATATGTGACTTTTTAAATGCAATCATGTACAATATAGGGACATTTTAATCAACAACTGACTACCTCTAAGCGCATAAGAGTATATACCATTTAGCTGAGATATGTAGCAGGCTGTGCTTATAGGTTTGTATAAGTATACTTTGTGATGTTTGCACAGTGACAAAATTGCTTAACAACCAACTTCTTGTATTCTTGTACTTAAGGGACAAATAACTAACTGCATTAACTATCTTATTTGTAGGGCATGGTTCAGCATGTATCATAACTAGTTACCTCTTTCTTTTTTTAAGAGATTTTCACCTTAGTGTTCATGTATTCTCTCTAAGAGATTTTCACCTTAGTGTTCATGTATTCTCTGGAGAGAGATAGAGACACTGAGAGGGAAAGTGAGAAACCACACCTTTAGGGGGCATGGCCATGCTGCAATCCCTTCCCCACTATCCTCCCAGGATCTTTAGGGGGCATGGCCGTGCTGCCATCCCTTCTCCACTATCCTCCCAGGATCTTGTGCACACATGCACATGTGCCTGACCCGAGTTTCAAGCCACCAGATCTGGGACTCGGACTGTGATCGGCCATGTGGGCGTCCAGCAATGTAATTCCTGTGCCATCTACTGGCTCCACCTTTTTTTAAGTTCCTGATAGCTGCAGTTAGTGTATCATAGCAATATCCATATGTAGTTATATTCTTATTAGAAACACAGAAAGCAATAATGATTTTTATATATTGCTCTCTTGCTTTTTAACTTGGGTGTTTCTGGTCAGAGAGAAATAGTAGAAGCTTTAGCTTTGTGTCTGTTAATACCTCTTAACTAATTGTGTCATATGAAACATAATTGTTATATTGTTACCAGGATAACTAGTAATTAAGGCTGCTAATCAAGCTATGTTATGAGTGACCCAGTTCTTTATCAGGGTTAGTCTATGAGATAAATAGTGCCTAGAGTTTTTAAAGAATTATTTCTTTCTTTCATAAGTGAGGGAGAGGGTGCTCATTCCCCTTAACATCATCTTGACACTGAGATTTACCCACAGCCTTCAGCCAACCTGGGTCATGAGCAGACATATGCCCAGCATACTCAGGTCTCTTGAACTGTGAACGTTTCCACGTGTGATTGACTTGCAGAGCATCATGTTTTATTGCTCACCGCTGCCTGTCCCCCTGTGCCTAGGTGTTTTTTTTTTTTTTTTCCCCCTTCCTGTCCCCCAGTGCCTGGGTGTTTTTTTTTTTTTTTTAATTTTTAATTTATTTAATTTTAAGAGAGGTTTTTGCTATAGGGTGTGTGTGTTTGCCAGAAAGACAGGGACAGAGAGACAGAAAGCAAGAAATTAGCCCCTCCCATGGGGGGATGGCCATGCCTCAATCCCTTCTCCTCTTGAGATCTTGGGCACTCAGGCACATACACCTGGTGTGAATTTAAGTTACCAGGTCCTAGACTTGAACCATGGTTGACTACATGGGAGTCCAGCAATGTAGCCATTATGCTATCTGCTGGTCCCTCTACTTGACTTATTTTGTGGAGCATCTTTATCTATGGTATTTTTAAAAATTAGCCACAATTATATATATATTTGTATATAAAAGTATAATTGTTATATAACTATGTATTTTTGGGTTTTTTTGGAGAGGTTTTTGCTATAGGGTGCGTGCGCTCGCCAGACAGACAGACAGAGACAGAGAGATAGAAAGCAGGAAATCACCCCCCCAGGGGGGATGGCCACGCCACAATCCCTTCTCCTCCATTCTCCTCTCGGGATCTTGGGCACGCACGCACATGTGCCCGGCGTGAGTTTAAGCCACCAGGCCCGGGACTCGAACCGCGGTCGACTACGTGGGAGTCCAGCGACATAGCCATTACGCTAACTGCTGGTCCCTATAACTATGTATTTTTTAAAATTTTGCTATAGAATGTGTGTACTTGCCAGAGACAGACAGACAGACAGACAAAGTGAGAAAACACTACCCTGGAGGGATGATCATGCTGCAATCCCTTTTCTTTCAATTCCCTTTCGGGATTTTGTGCACTCACTAACATTTGTCCAAGCTGCCAGATCTGGGACTTGAACTGTACAATTGGTCATGTGGGATCCATGCCATCTGTTGGCTCATATTTTAATTTAAATCTGTTTAAACAATTGACATTTAAGAGTTGAAATGACCTTTTTTGTATTTTATGGTTATAGAGGAATTATTTAAGGTCATGGTAAATATTCAGACAGCATAGGCAAATAAAAGGGGTGCTTTCCCTCTTTATTCTATTATGCAGATACTTTGGAGAATATTATTCCATATTATTTTCCTGTGCATGTTTATAAACAGGTTTCAAAATAATCTGTGTGTTTTTGAAATAATGCCTGTATTATTACATATTTTCTTTTTTAAAAATTAATTTATTTAGCTTTATTTATTTTAATTTGACCAGAGAGGAACAGAGTGAGAGAGTAAGAGAGAGAAAGTGAGGAAGCAAGCTGCCATGTCTGGGACTCGAGCTGCAGTTGGCCATATGGGAGTCCAGTTCCCTTAACCACCTGTTGGCCCCCATATTTTTTTCCCCTTTAATTGCTGTGGGGGGTACATGTGCTTGTCAAAGAGAAAAGGAGAGAAGGACTCCCCTACTTGCCCTCCCCTCAATGGGGCATGGTCACTTCACAATCCCATTTCAATTTTTACATTCTGTTAGGGTTTTGAGCATGCATGCACACAGCCTGCTATGTTTTTCTAGCTGACAAAGCCAGGATTTGAATTATAGCCAGCCGTGGGATCCAGCTCCAGGTGCACTGTACTTAACTGTTGTGCTAACGGGCTGGCCCACTGTGATACTATTGTGAAACATGCTTTTGTTTTTTAGTGATTTAACTCTGTTCTTTAGTAGTCTGATAGCATGTTAAATTAAACAAGCTGTACTTTTCTTTTGTGTCATTTTGCCTGAAGCCCATTGATATTATCACCTTAGGTTCTCTACTTCTGCAACACAAAAGTGTAGCTAAAAGAGGTTGAAAGAAAGCAGAATGGGTATACATTTGATAATGGATTAAAAATACAAATGGAATGAGTTTACTTGAGCTTGTTTGAGTTGTTGAAGTTATACTTTTGTCTAAAATGTGCAGATTATGGCAATATAGCGAAAGCATGGAACATACTTGAAAGGGCATGCCAAAACTGGGGCCTTGAAAGTGGAAGGGTATATATAAACTAGAGAAGCTGGGGGGAGGCCTATTTGAGAAATAGATACGTGGCTTAATGACTTTAAAGGCTTAAACCTTGAAATCAGAGCTTGGGATGTTAGGTCAAACCAGGTTCGAAGTACCAATGATTATACCATGGTCAGCTTTAAGAGATCAGAAGGGAGCAGTGCACGCAAGTAAAGTCTGAGCAAAATGGTATATAATATAACTTCAGATTCCTCAGGAACTAGGTGAAGAGTGGAATTATACTCACAAGACTGGGGACTATAATTCAGTTTCTTGACCAGGTGGGCAGAGGCTATCATAGCATACTTACTACATGACTTTAGGACCGGAGATGTCTGTCTGCCTTTCTTCTGACCTTCAGCATGGGTGAGGCTATGAGTATGGATTGCTCCACCTGCAAGACAGAGTTGTATAGGTTCTGGTGACTGTAGGAAAAGCTACATCCTTCCTTTAGGGAGTGCTTGCAGTTATAACAAATCAGAAAGACAAATCCAGAGGTATAACTGTGTACTTTTATTACTAGAAAACCCATCTTATGAAAGATCTTTATGTATGCTTAGTTTATACTGCAACAAAGAATTCTATATTTGGTAAGCAAGAGATAGGCTTTTCAGGGAACCTTTGGGTCGCAATGTTGTTGCTGCAAGAAACTGAAGTATATATTCCTCATGACTCCTGTAACCCTGGTTGATTTTGACATTTGGCCCAATTCAACTTGACCTTAGAGTAAGAAGTGTAATGATAGACCTGTGATCCATTGTCAGCATCTCTTCCTAAACTCCATCTCCAGCCATTTACATTAGCTGACTTGCCATACATTCATCTCCAGTGGTGCACATGGTTCTGATAATGCTTTGAAACACTACTTATAAATATATAAATAATATATTAATTATTACAAATAAGTTCATAGGATAATTTTAAAAGGTAAAAGAGAAGAAGAAAAAAAATTTCCTTGAAGGGAAATAACATGGCTCTCTTAATGGGGTGTAGAAAAAAAGCTTATGTTTGAGCTCTCCCACCATTTTTCTCTTGACACAGGTTTATATTGGGTCATCAGAAAAGTCATGATGTATTTTTCTATGCAATAATTACATAAACTAATAACTATACTTTCTATAGCAATGGCAGTTCAGGAATGAGGAAGGGAGTGTGAATGGTTTATTTTCTCATTTTCTCAGGCACAACAACCTTGGTGCACGGCCGAAAGGGCTGTCAACTCTGGTGAAGAGTGGTGTCCCTGAAGCATTGAGAGCAGAGGTATGGCAGTTATTAGCAGGCTGCCATGACAACCAGGCAATGCTGGATAGATACCGAATTCTCATCACAAAGGTAGGAAGCTTTTTCAAATTATTTTCATGGGACATCATGTTAAACAAATTATGTCTTTCATACCTCCAAAGTCATAAATGCTTCAAACTTAAAAATATTAAAGGAAGTCAATGCTGTCTTTTTTTCCTGGATACTTACAGGATAGAGGTAAAAAAAATGCATGTAGTCATCTATGCACACTTTATGCCTTTGCTTTAATTTTTTTAAAGTTCAAGTGACTTTATAATAACTATTTGCCAACTTAGAAAATATTTATATTTCAAGTGTTTCCTTACTTGGTACAATTTTAAAGTAAAGTTAACTTGAATTCAATGGCCTTCTGTACTCATGTCACCTTACATTTAAATGATGTGAATAATTGCATATCCATATTCTGTTGGGAGCCCTTGGTTCCAGTGTACTTGGTTTATGTTCAAGTAGCTAGTGTTAGAGCGCAGGTAAAGATAAGTGTCGGCTTTGACTTTAGGGTCTCCTTTTAACTTTCACTTCCTGATTTCTTCAGCTACTCTAAATCATGGATTTTTAAATAATAGTAATATCTTTTTTTTTTTTTTTTGAGAGATTTTCACTATAGGGCGCGTGTGCTCGCCAGACAGAGAGAGACATAGAGACAGAAAGCGAGAAGTCACCCCCCAGGGGGATGGTCATGCCGCAGTCCCTTCTCCTCTGTTCTTCTCTCGGGATCTTGGGCACACACGCACACGTACCCGGCATGAGTTTTAAGCCACCGGGTCCGGGACACGAACTGCGGTCGACTACGTGGGAGTCCAGCAACATAGCCATTATGCTAACTGCTGGTTCCCAATATCATATATATTTTAAAAATCTTAGTTCATAAGTGAGATTTTTTATAAGCAAGACACTTCCTCAGAATAAGGCTTTTTTTTTTTTTTTTAATCTCCTGTGATTCCTTCTTCCTCAGTTATAAGGTTTTACATCTGCCTCTGGGAATTTATTCTTGATCAGTTGCTTCATGATTGGTTCCTGATTCTTAGTCATGATTCCACTTGCCTTCATTCTGTGGTTCTTGTTTCCTGCAGTTTTCTGACATGACTGTTAACATACACTGCCTGATTCTCTGGACAGTAGTTATGGCGGCAGACCTAAAAGCTAGCAGCAGCATCTCCACTGTTTAGCTTTTCCAGTTCTTCCAATATTTAAGTACTTTAGTCCCTACAAGAATCCTTTTTGAAAGATTCTTTTTTGCCTCACTGAACTCTGTCTGATGTACTTGGCATATATGTTTGTCACCTTGTCACAGATGGCTGTTCTACATTTAGCTTTATGCTTAGAAAAAAAGAGAGGAAAGACAAAGGCTACCCACATTTAGTCACACCAGGGGTTAAGAGCACAGTCCTTGAGACTGCTAGTTTGTGTAGGACTTCTGATACCAGGTGAAAGTTTAGGGTCTCCAGAGTCACCCAGATTTAAGACCAGCTGGCTGTAGATGTGGGGGTCCCACAAACTCCCTCAGGTTTAATTTATATCTATATATTTAGAGTTGGTTTTCTTTTCTTTTTTTTCTTTTTTTTTTTTTTTGCTATAGGGCGCGTGCGCTTGCCAGAAAGACGGAGAGAGATGAAGAGACAGAAAATGAGAAATCACCCCCCAGGGGGGATGACCACGCCACAATCCCTTCTCTTCCATTCTCCTCTCTGGATCTTGGGCACGCGCACATATGTTTGGTGTGAGTTTAAGCCACCGGGTCCAGGACTTGAACCGTGGTTGACTACATGGGAGTCCAGTGACATAGCCATTATGCTAACTGCTGGTCCCTAGGTTTAATATATTTTTTAGAATGACTCACAGAACTCAGCAAAGTGTAGTATTTATAATTTTTTTTGGGGGGGGATAGCAAATAAATACAAATCAGGGGCCAGAAGGTGGCATGGTTGTTAAGTTGCTGGACTCCCACATGGTTGGCCCTGGTTCAAGTCCTGGACCTGACACCTTGAAAATCATGCCAGGTGTGTGTATATGCTTGTCTAAAATCCTGAGAGGAGAAGGTATTACAGCATGGCCGTCCTCCCTGGGGGATGATTTTTTCATTTTTTCTCTCTCTCTGTCTCCCTGGTGAGAACACTTATCCTATGGCAAAAACCTTAAAAAAAAAAAAAAAAAAAAGGAAAAAGAAATACAAATTAGAACCAGTCAAAGGAGGAGACACATAAAGCAGAATATGGGACTAGTAGAATTCCCAACATGAAGCTTCCTTTATTCTCAGGGGCATGTTGCCCTCTGGCGTCATCCTCAAGGACACATTACAGGAGTGGTGCACACTTGGAGTATCACGAACCCAAAGATGCCTCTAAACTTTGTTGTCCAGAGCTTTTATTAGGGTCTCATTGCATGGGCATGACTGGAATATTGCTTACCTGGTTGAACTCAATCTCTAGCCTCCTCCCCTTCTTTCCTTTTTTGAAGTTCATCTGATATCACATGTCTCAAAGTCTCAACCCTCCAATCACATGGTTTATCTTTGTGGCTTGTCAACCCCTATTCTTAGTCTTCTCATTAATTTAAACTGTCTAGGTACCCCTTGTGAGTGCCTCATTAACATGAACTGTAGAGTTGGTTAGAAGGGCCCACTACAAATAATAAAAACTCTCCTATCATTCAGGAAATTCTAAGGACTTAGAGGTTACCTCCATGAACCTGGACAAGGGTTAGATCACTCTTCAGCACGTCTGAACCAGTCTGTCATCCTTTTATTAAAAATGTATTTTATTTTTTAAACTTTCTTTTATACATTCAATCACTATACATCACTTAGCTTGTAAAAGTTAATTTTCCAACATGAATACATTTTACACCAGTCCAGTTAGGGATAGTATAAGGAGCTTTTCCTTAAGCCCCAAACAACCTCACCTATAGCTTCTTGACCAGAATTCAGGTACATAGCTCCTATCTCCATTGAAAGCTGGGAAATATTTTGAGATGGGCACATAGCTTTTCCCCTTGCACTCTTAAAACTGTTTTTTAAAAAATAAAGAACAGAGACTAGATAATGGGCTAGCTACTATATTTCTCTGTTCTATATGCCACTTAATAGTGGCAGTAGTTGAGATCTGTCATGGCATAATGTATTCTAATAATATATATAAACTTGGTACAGTATTTTTGGATTGGCAAATGTCTATTTAGAATGTCACTGAGATTGACTAGCAATGTATAATTAAGATAATATAATGAATATTTTCACATTTAGTTTATAAACCTATGACAACATAAATTTTTTAATGTTACTTCTATCGTTAATGTGCAATTTATCAAAAACAACAGTTTTTATAAACAATATAGAAATATGGGTCTTTGACTATGGGCCTTTATTTAAGCCCTCAAGTCAATACATTTCTGTGACAGGAAGTACAACGGTGTATTTAATTTTGTCTTCCTTGCATCAACGCCAAAGATAATAAATGAATGTTACCATTATTTCTAGAAGTGATTTTCTCCTTTCCCTATGTTTAGGGGTAGAAACGAGTACTTGTAGCCAACTATGTGTGTGTGTGTGTATGTATATGTATGTATTCACTTTGGAGGTGAATATATATGAACTTTCAAGCCACTCCATGGAAGGAGCATGAATACCCACAGGGTTTTCAGTAAGAAGTGTCTGCATATTTGGCACTCATTGGTTATGGTT